TAGGCTGTTAATAAAAATATGTGATAGTGATTATAATTTAATTGTGATTATATAGAAGTAAAATACATATTAAAAAAATCGGTAAATTGATAGATGTGATTATAATAGTTTTGTGATTATATAGAGGGTGACTATATAGAGATTCGACTGTATATATATTTGTAAAATCAAGAAATAGCAAATCAAAAAGCACATTGAATAGTATTCAAATAATACTATTCAGCATCTTGATTTTTTTTTGCAAATTTAAATTAACACATAGATATTTCCAAAAAATATTTTCTATATTGTATATAGAATATTGGTGTACAAGCCCTTGATCTATAATATTTTTCATTGTTTCTGGAGTTCTTAATATAAGTTGACTATTACTTAACTTAATATTGTTCATACTTTCAACTGACACCAAGCATTGATAACAAGGATGTTTACAATTAACTAAATTATATGTCAATGTCAATGATGAATGCTCAGAAAGATTTTCTATTAGTGTAGATATAAATGAATAACACTATAGATTGTCATAGCCTGTTTTAAGATCAAACACATTTTCTTTATAGTCAAGCAGTAGTTCTAGTATAATGTCTATTGCATTAAAATATAAAGATCATTTAGCAAGTAAAAAACTTTTTGATTTTTAAAAGTGGAAGGTAGTCTAAAAGAGCTTTAGCATCAAGTTTATTATATTGTCAGCCAGGTATATTTTCTAATGTTAAGTAAATAAGATTTTACTTGATTTGCCATAGTAGTCACATATTGTTGCATCAGAGTAAATGATTATTGATAAAATATTTGCTTTGTCTGAGATCACTTTTTTTGCACTTTCTTACCACTTTCTATTATATTGTTCATAATAAGTCCTTTCTCCTTTATGATATAATGGAGTTAATTTAAAAATACAATGTTTAAATATAACTTTATTGCTCAACAATTCTTTTATGATATCAAAGATAAACCGATAATTAAGATAATAAATTTCTTCTTCATAAATTATAATCAGCATTTTTTTAAAAGAGATATATAGCACTGTTATTTAATCTAAGAACTGATGACCTTGTTTTACTAAAGTAGGTAAAACTATATTATCATTAGATATTTTTTTCGCAAACCTAAGTATTTCACTTCTATATATATCTGATAAATTTCATTTGATAAGCAATTTCATAAAATCACCAAATTCTTTACTTGGAAAGTTTAGTTTTTTACCAGTTACTGATTTAGTAACATCAAAAGACTCAAAAATTAAAGGTGGCTCTATATTAAGTAATAAATGTTCTTTCTAAATATTTATATATATTTAAGTTATATGTATAATTAGGTTTAGGTTGCAGATAACTCCTATAACTCTTGAGTTAGCAAGGGCTCTGTCTGAGTTTCTAGTTTTAGTATCTTATAGATATAAAGTTCAAATAATGTAATTTCTTTATTTAATTATTTGTAAAGAGTTTAATTGGATTTTAATAAAAATAGAAACATGACCTCACCTTTGAAGATTTAAAAAAAAAAAGTTATGTATAATGCTAATTAAAATAAAGTTTATTTGTTATTCATGTAGAAGTTACACAAACAATAGCTTATTGTTCTTATTGTTTGTATAACTTCACTTGACCTTATATATAAATACGTACTATTACTTGATTATTTATTTCTTCTATTTTTAAAATGTCCTCTGTCCAACTTTCTAATTGGCCTTCAAGCTTATATTCACTCATCTAGCAATTATTTATTACACCTTTGTTATCTTCAAGTATTCCACCTTCATCATCTCCAAGCTGACTATCTATTCCTATTCCACCTTTAGCACCTCCAAGCTAACTTTCTATTCTACCTTAGTCACCTTCAAGCTGACTATCTATTTCTATTCTATCTTCATCATCTTCAAGCTAATTATCTATTCCTATTCTATCTTCGTTACCTTCAAGCTAACTATCTATTTCGTTATCTTTAAGCTGACTATCTATGCCTATTTCACCTTTATTATCTTCAAGTAGAACATCTAGTTCTATTAGACTTTCTCTTGCAAGGTGGTCTTCATTTAACTGACATAAAATATGCCTATTTTTCTCTTTTTTTTCAGCAATTTTTTATAGAAGTTTGTCAATAGTATCATTATGAATTTTTATATGATTTCGAAGTAAAGCTTGATAAGAAAATTCTCTTTTACACTTTTTACATTGAAAACTCATTTTTTTTGTTTGAAAAAAAGAGGTACGTAATATTTATAATAAGAGTTAAATATAATTATACATAATCATGATTTCTTCTTATATGATTTTAATTCAATATACACCATTACGTATCAATTATTATGATATTATCAGGTATATTATTATTTTTTTTAAAAAAATGATTTTTACAATAACAGAAATTTAATGGTTTGAAATATTTTAAACGAATCACATCCCAAAGCAAAGCTAAAATCTTGAGTCAAAGCTTGAGTTTTTTGTAAGCCATTGAATTAAAAGTTTATTTTGTTTTTTTTTGTAGTTAAGGTTAGCTTCTTTGGCTTCCCACTTTTATTAGACTTATAAAATCATATAGTGCTCTTTTTAAGAGGCCCAGACAAGTACATTCTGACGAGGATACATTCTAGCTATACTTGTACCTTTTGAGCATCTAATTAAGTATCTACCTATTGCTAGGTTCTATACTAGATGCTGTACCTATAATCTACTATTACTTGAGTTATCTAATTAAACTCTTTGATCTGAGTTTTCCTGCCAATCCATCTAATCTCACCCAGAACATGCGATACATAAATCAGTTTAAGTTCCAAGATCATCGCGTATCTATCTATAGGACTACCAGCATGGTTAATTGATTTATCCTTGAATGTATCACCTGCTAGAGCAGTCCAGTACCCATTATTACTGTATTACCTAGTCTACTTCGATAATTTACGCCTAGGCCAAGACAAAGTACTTGTGAGCCAAAGTCACTACTGTTACCTACTATACCTTTATAAAATTCACTCAGACTCTAGCACCCACTATACAGACTATCTATTGTACACCCATCATTCTAAATTTCTAATCTAGATGGCCCAGAAGAGTTGTAATCTGCTCTTGGTCTCTATGGTTGGGTCCTTTTCCTCCGGTTACTCTCTGGCAACCTGGTTGATGGAGTGATTTGCCAAATACTTCAGTTCTGTTCGGTTCTTTGATTTTCTGATTGATAATCCTTTACATAGTACTATTAAAGATCTGTGCTACTTCTCTACTCGGGTCTTACCAAGCAGGTTTCCATGTATGCCAACCTCAGATTTACACAACTGCTTCACTTGAGTTTTGTGTAACTTGTACATTATACTATTGTTCTACTATCTCTCAATATAAGCTGGTATGACCTAGTTACAGATGTCAATCCGCTTTTACACTTACAGTTGCCATAACACTGTACTGAAAATTCAAATTTTTTCATCGCTTGTGGGATTTGAACTCTGTTTCTGCCACTTGGGGGTGTGACAACTTCACTACTTTACTAAGTCACTACACTTTTAAAAGTTTATTTTGTTAGTTACACTACCAATTTCAATATCTATTGATTATTGTAGAACTTTAAAAATTAGACCAAGATACATATGCATAGATTAAGATTTAGCCAGAGTGGCCCTTCTAAAGTGCTAGTGACACAGCCACAGTATATATACAGTATTGTAATATTGAATTATGTATGCACAATTATTATCTAAAACAAGTGATCAACAATATGCAACTAAAAGAGAATCAATAAGTTGCACTAATTGGTTTTATATCACTGGCGCTTTGAAGAGGCCACCCTAGCTAACTCATAGATTAATAAATGTAAGTATATTTATTAAATATGCAATATACTGTCATTGGTCTTAAACAATAATAGTTATTAATTATCACTATTACATTGTATAAAATAGATCATTAAACAATTTAAGCTAAAGGTTTTGTAAGCTATCCAAGAACTAAAACAGACCAATTTGATATGCAGTTTGATTCTCGTTAGTTGCTAAAAACAGACTCAAAATCCAGAATAGAGTAACTTTGTACTAAGGTTATATTTTTATTTATGTTTGTAATGGTCAGTTATTAATAGTATATTGCTTAAAGACTTCTGGCTAGCAAATTTCATATGCAACATAATAGAACTCATAATGATCAAGCTCATCTTTAAATTGCATCCAACTCCTTATACCTCTGGTTTAACAGAAGGTAAACTCCAAATATATAAGCTTGTTATTGAGCTTTCCTTTCATATTTTGCTTAGATCATATTGTTACAAGTGGACTGTAGCCTTCTTAATACAGCACAAGTGACAAAGCACACAGCTATAGAGCTCTGTTGTGAGATTATAGCGGTGTAGAAGTAGAATGTTACTTCACTAAGGGCAGTTTATGGAAAGTATATAGTTAAAGAAAGATATATTTTATTTACGGTATATAAGA